AGCGGCCTGTTCCCCATGCCCGTGTGGTTCGAAGTCGGCATCCCGCAGTCCTGGGCGTGGACCCTGCTGGCGCCGTACATCTCGAGCTGCCCTGCCGACACCCAGCGCCTCATCTGGCAAAACTTCCCGTTGCTGCACATCCTCAACCAGCCGAACCCGGCCCGCATCGACGGCGCCAACGTCTGGAACGAGACGACGGGCGGCTACGCCAACACACTATCGACGGCTGAAATTGAGCCCGAGGACGCCTGCATCAACGCCACCGAGGTCGGCGAGTTCTGCGGTGCTGCCATCTCCCGGAACCGCACCACGCCGCTTTCCTACCCGGGCCGCCAGGTCTTCCTGCAGTGGGACGCCCCCGGCTCTCCCGTCGGTCCCAACAACAGCTACATCACGGCGACCGAGGTGCGCGAGCCCAAGTTCGCCGCCTGGGTGTCGCAACTCAATGTCACCTACTCGCCCCTGCTGAACGTCAGCCTCGAGGACCGTACGGCGTACACCATTCAGCCCAACGTGTCGACCATTGAGGGTGATCCTGCCCTAAACGGCACCCTGTTCCTCGCGCTGACGGACGAGCCGCTCTACGTGACGCCTTACAACCTGACGCAGATCAACCCACATGTTGCCGCCCTGGCTTTGTACCAGGCTGGTTGAAGAAGAAGGCGTAGTCATCTGAATTGGTTATGGGTGTATCTAAAATGACATCAGTCTGAACGCTTGTATGACAATCGCCAATGGGGGTATACTATGTAGAGATACACTTAATGTCAAACCTTGATCCTTGGACCTTGTATTACCCAGCTTGAGATGTGATCATATGCTGCGCCCTAACATGCAGCTCATCACCTCCCGTGTCACCCAATCTCATCGCCCAACTTGTTCGGTCTGTATCCACACGACTCTCGGGTACCCAGGTATAGAGGAGTCTCTGAGGGTTGCAATGAAGCACCATGACGTCTTGTCGGTCCAAAAGGGTCCAAAAGGGCAAGGGCGGGAATCGCCTCGTGTATTGTTGATCTATGTCTCAATTCTTTTTCTTTTCACGTCGTGTCAGCCCAACTGCGTCGTGGTCTTGCGTTCCGTTTAGATGGTGATCGTCTTGTCCCAATTGAGCTTACAGCTCATTGTGCTCCTGGTTGTCGTCGGTGCCGTCGGCGACAACCGTCTTGACAGCCTCGGCCGCCTCGCCAACGACACTGGCCACCTTCTGGGCGATCCCTTCGGCCGCCTCCTCAGCCTTCTCCTTGACCTCCTCCTTGACTTCCTCCTCCTTGGGCAGCTTGACAACGATCTTCTCGGGCTTCTCGACGCCGTCAATGCCCATGAGCTCCGTCTCGAAGACTGGCGTGTGACGCTTTCGTTAGCCGGGCGAAACTGCATGCGGGGGAGCAATGTTGCCGCGTCCCCGACAAGGAACTAGGGCGGGGCCTGTTGCTCCTGCTCGTCGGGAAAAAGGGTAGAAGGAGGGGGTGTCATACTCAGCGTCGCGCCGCCGGGGATGGGACCCATGCCGCGGGGACCGTAGCCCATGTCAGAGGGGATGGTCAGCGTCCTCTTCTCGCCAATGCACATGTCCAGTAGA